CAAGCCTAAGACTTTGTGGGAACTATCTATAGACAGGGTAGAGACAGAGACGAGTAAAATGAAAAGCGTTGCTGAGGATTCTGGCATTTGGTCTGAGGACAGTTAACCTGTCCCTTTCTTTAAGTTGGGGAGGGTCCCTGACGATTGGCAATGTGTTATCTCTGACATTTGAAAGTGGATTCTTTTTTCTTTTGGTTTTCAAGCCAACTTGGAAATTCAGTTAGGTCTGCTGCCACACGAGTCTGGAAACCTTTGCAGTACTGGAAGTCTCCAGGAACTATAACATACAGTTAGTTCATTACTGTGGCAACTCAGATTTCTAAATAATGAATCAAATCCGTACATTATTTAGAATGCACAACAAGGTTATTAAGCTGAATAAGCAGGGCCTTGCAGGGGTTTACAGTACATTTATCTAGGGCAGTTCCACAGCACCAAAGTAACATGCTTTAAAAAATATATGAAAAGGCAAACCCCTGCATTACCTCACATTCTATTTGTAGAGTCTCCAGATTGCACTGGTGTCTTTTAAGAGTGCTGCTCAGTGAGATGCCGGTCCCATTCTGACGCTCCCTCCCCTCAAGAGCACTCTGCTGATGAGTGCTGAGTGTGAAATGCCCCTTCTGGTGATTTACAGGCATGTAAAAGGAATAAAACTATCTTTAGGAGGGAAATCTGTAGGTGTTTCCTCTACTGCCTTCATGTTCTGGTGTGTGTATGAACTTCTAGGTTTGTATATAGCTGTACTTAGCCCATCCCACACCAGGTTTGTAACATTCCCAGGACAAAAGCTGTGTGGAGTCTCTGACACATGGCATTGAAATGGGGTGGATCCATTAAGATGGGGGCATCCACTGCTGCTTCTTGTCTATCTTCCTGTCTTCCTACTTCAGAGCATGAGGACAGATGTTCCAGATGTTTTGGACATTACCACGACAGGTTTCCTATACCTGGGAAGAATCTTGCTTCCGTGAAGGAAGATGATGGAAGAGGTAACTTAAGGTGATAAACCTTAACTATACAAACTACTCCCCAGGAAGCAAGCACTAGACATTTGCCTCTGGATTTATGTGGTATTTATTTCCCCATTTGGAAGGCTCAGTATGTGGTACTAAATTAATTGTGTTTAAAAGTAACACAATATACCCTTACTTCAACTCAATCATCAAAGTTGTGTCACCATGCCAACATGTTTCATCACAGCTGGCGATATACAGAAGAAGTTTAAAGTCTGTCCTCTGAAGTAGGCATTTTGAAAAATTTCTGAACTGCAGAATGTGCGAGGTTTCCCTACCTCTGGGAACAATGAGTAGTCAGCCCTAAATCGATATTTTTTTTAAAAATCCCAAATCAAGTTTTTCTTGGAATTGCACTCTTCCAGGTGCCTTCAGCTATTTTGAAGAGTTTTCAAAACAGTCTTTCAGCTCACCTTAACAACCAGGGCTGCCCTTGTAGGCTGAGTGAGTATGTTTGAAAGAGAAACAATTAGTGTTCACTAGAACCTTAGCCTCTGATGACTTTTATCAGAGGCTGTAGCCTCCTCTCTTATCTCCTCCCAATCCCACTCTCTCTCCCTCTTCTCCACTTATGCCCCTCCCCTAGTCCACTGATAGGGGAGGTCCTCCTCCCTTTCTGTCTGACTCTAGCCTCATTAGGACTGGTTGCAAGGTCTTCCTCTGTGACCTAGTAAGTCTGCCTCCCCCCAGCGGGAGGTGATCAGAGAGCCTGCCACTGAATTCATGTCAGAGACAGTCCCTGTTGCCCTTACTAGGGAACCCACTTGAAGACTGAGTCTATGGACTACACCTGAACAGGCGTTTTATGTCCTCTCTATGCATGGTCCTTGGTTGGGGTATCATTCTCTCCAGGGCCCCCAGGGCTCAGGGTTTTTTGGCTGTTGGTCTTCTTTTAGAGCTCATGTCCTGTCCAGGTCTTTCTATCTACCTTTCTTACATAAAATTCTATGCATTCTGCCCAAAGTTTGAGTCTCAGCCTCTGCTGATTGATACCTCAATCAGTAGAGTCTTTCAGAGACCATCACTGATAGGCTCCTGTCCTGTTCCCTGTCTTCTCCTGCTTCCAATGTCTATCGTGTTTGCCCTTTTGAATGAAGATTGAGCATCTTTCCTAGGGTCTTCCTTGTTGTTTAATTTCTTTAGGAGTATAGATTTTAGTATGTTTATCTTATATTATATGTTTAATATCTACTTATAAGTGAGTATATACCATGTGTGTCTTTCTGTTTCTGGGTTATCTTACTCAAGATGATCTTTTCTAGTTCCCACCATTTTCCTGCAAATTCCATGATTTCCCTGTTTTTAGTTGTTGAGTAGTATTACATTGTGTAAATGTACCACAATTTCTGTATCCATTTCTTCATTGAGGGACATGTAGGTTATTTCCAAATTCTAGCTATTACGAATAAAGCTGCTATGAGCATAGGTGAGCAAATGTCCTTGTTGTATAGTTGAGCATATTTTGGATATATGCCTGGAAGTGGTCTAACTGGATCTTGAGGTAGCACTATTCCTAATTTTCTGAGAAAGCAGCAGACTGATTTCCCAAGTGCTTGTACAAGTTTACATTCCCACCATCAATGGAGAAGGTTTCCTCTTTCTCCACATCCTTTCCACTCTTATCCCAGAGTCTTATGGCTTATTTCTCTTTTAAGGACTTCTTATTGACCTATATTTATGAGGCAGGATATAGAGAATTTATAGGCATTTAATATAAACATATTAATTTTAATACTCTTTGAAATTTTATATTAAACATACAAAGCTATGATTTTATCATTATTAGCTTTTGCATGAGAATAAAATAAGTAAAAAGGGAAAAGTAATTGCGCTGGTTTAAAGTGAAAGAATTTTTTGTAAAGATATATTTTCTATGTGTGAGTGTTTTGACTGTATGCATACACGTGCTTCACATGCTTGAAATGGCTGAAGACAGAGGAAAAAGGCCTTAGAACTCCAGAAACTGGATGTTCAGGTGGTTATGAGACACCATTTATCTACTGGGATTTGAATTCCTTGTCCTCTGGAAGGCAGCAAGTCCTCTTAACTGCAGATCCTCTCTCCAGCCCCAAAGAGAAATTGTTATCTAAAAAGTGTATAAAGGGCAAGAAAATGCTTGAATAGTCTTGACTGTTGAATATACTAGGTAGAACAAGCTGGCCGAGAATTCACAGAGATACACCTGCCTCTATCTCTCCAGTGTTGGGATTAAAGGCATATACTACCACACCTGGAATGTGTTTTCTGTATCTTGTCTGGTGCTATAATTTCCAAAAAATGTCTACATATTTTATCTTCTTTTAATATTGAAAAATCCTGCTGTACGAAATAGGGTGGAGTTTTGACTTTTACTTTAAAAATATTTGAAGTGGAGAGATTTCTTTATGTTATTCAAATCACTGGACAAGCAAGTGACAAGGCATGAAACTATACTCCATTCCTCTAACCCCTACTAAGAGCTACAGTGATGTTTTCATTTAGATATGCAGTGAGCAGATACTTTTTTCTTTCCCTCTAGTGAAAATCTATACTTTGGAGTTAGGTTTTGTGTTATGAGAATTGACTGGGCTCCTTCATAGACACAGCAAGGGTTAAATTAACACCTTCCTTGTCTTAACTCCAGCCCCACAGCTAATACACATACCAGGGGTATTTTCTTCAAGGTGGCCCGCTCTAAGATTTCCCAGCATTTCTCTCAGTTCCTACCATTCTCTTGGTCTCATCTCAACAGATATCGTCAGCACTCACAGACAGGGCTGATTTTATTTTACTACTCTGCTGGATTTTGTTTGGCTCTGTCGAGGTCATAGAGCTCATCTGCAGGTGCTCACCTCAAAAAGTCAATGCTGCTTCCCTGACAGCTCCTGACCTTCTGATGAATGCCTATGCAAAGAAAATTGAGCTTACTTTTCCACTGAGATTATCATTCACAGCCTAAAGTTCAGGTCACCAGAACCTGACTGGTGGCTTTGAAGATTATCTTCCCTGGGTCAGGCTTAATTTACACCCAAACCTTATTTTCACCTTTTAATCCATCCCCTTTGAAATCGTGGCAGGTCTTGGAGCACATACTCTGGGCTCCTCCTCATCTCCACAACCCCCAAGAATATTTTCCAGAAGATCCATGGCAGAGACGGCAAGAGTCTGTATAAACAATCCATCGAGTTTTCTGCTTTAGAGAAGCGTGATCTCTCTTGATTACCATGAAAACCAAGTGGCTACTTTATTTTTTGGGGATCTAAGGGCAACAGAATAATTGTGAGTGAAAAGTTTGGTTTGCAAGATGGACATACATATTAGGAAAAAAAAAAAGACAGGGGCTTGAATGCTGATGACAGCTCAGGAGAGCTGAAATGTAGCATCCTCCCTCCAAAGGCCTCCTAACAATGCAAGCCAAAGAATGTGACTGAGCCCAGATTTTTTGGTTCTGTTGCTGTCCTTGTCCAACCAAGGACCATGTATGGAGATAATCTAAAACCCCTGCACAGATGTAGCCCATGGCAGCTCAGACTCCAAGTGGATTCCCTAGTAAGGGGAACAGGCACTGTCTCTGACATGAACTCAGTGGCTGGCTCCTTGATCATCTCCTCCCCACCCTTGAGGGGGTGCAGCCTTACCAGTCCACAGAGGAAGACAATGCAGCCAGTCCTGATGAGACATGATAAACTAGGGTCAGATGGAAGGGGAGGGGGACCTCCCCTATCAGCGGACTGAGGGAGGGGCATGGGAGGGGAAGAGGGAAGGAAGGAGGGCTTGGGAGGGGATGAGAAATGGGGTTACAGCTGGGATACAAAGTGGATAAACTGTAATAAAAATGGAAAAATAAATAAAAGAATTCAACTGAGAGTTTCATTAAAACATGCAAGTTATCACGAGGTGTTCGGTACCTTTAGGAAGTGTATGCATGAATAACAGTCCAATTGTCCTATTTGGTATGATTCTAATGTAATTCTATGATGTTAATTCATTAAAAATTGGTATTTGACCCCCTGGAATGGACAGAGATACCTTGTTGGTGGTGTTCATATATTAGTCAGGGGCAGAACAGATGGTAGTTCTTTGTTCATCCTGACTTGGTGCCTGGCTTGGTGGCCCAAGTTGTTTCATGCCTACACCACATAAAAATCAAATCAAATCTGGTCAGTGCAGATCGGGAGGAAGAAGACAGAGACCTGCAGACCACCATGCCACCTACAGGCCTGCCCTCTGGCCCCCAGTACAGATGGGCCAGAGCCATACTAAAGACAAGCAATTGGCCAGCACACAATGAAGCTCTGCCTCTCACCAGCTGCAAAACTCAGGAAATGGGCCCTTAACCTTGCCTGGACCTATGCTTGGACAGCATAGCACAGCAGAGCTGACCCTGACGGTGGAGGCACAGGTGAACAGGCCCAAGTAGGAGAGCACTGAGAGCTGGGAACGCTACTCATCTGTGATGAAGTGGCATGGGAGAGAGGGAAATGAGCCCCCCCTCCCCTTTTCCCTCACCATCTGTAGCAGCTGGGTGAGCCGGTCCCAGGGTCATGAGAACAGGTGAGCTGGCCCTGGTCCTCACCATCTGAAGCCCTCAGGAAAGGTGCCTCTAGCGCAGATGACAACAGGAAAGTTGTCACCTGGGCAGCACAGTGGAGCTGTCACTGATAGAGAAGACCTGGAGAGCCAGTTCCAAGGGTGTGAGAGCAGGAGACCTGGCCCAGCCCCTCTCAGGGTACAGCAGTTGCCTCATCTTGACTGGGCAGCACAGTGGTGCTGGCTCTGGAGGTGTGTCTTCAGATGAGCTGGCACAAGGGCATGAGAGCAGGAGAGCCGACCCTATTTCCTGCTAATGACGGCTAGCTACAGCTGTGCTGGAGAGCTTGCTCTGGTAATGTAGAGAGGGGAGAGCTGAGCACTGACCAACTCGGCTGCCACCCAGGTCCTGGTACAAGGGTCTGAGTTGGTCCACCCCCAAATCTATATCATCTGTGAATGGTTGGGAAGGGGTCAGTCAGTCCAGCTGATCCTAGGATCTCTGTGTCACAGGCAAGTAACAGGATGACCTGGAGGAGCCCCAGTGAAGATACAGAAGCCAGAGATCTCAAACCAGACCAATGACTCATTGCAATGAACATTCGCAGGTGAAGATGTGTGGACATACTGTGATATGATACTATAGATTCTGTGATAAGATGTTTTCTATGCTGTGTTTAGCTTGTTTGTTTGTATATTTTTATTTTGGGGGTAGGTTGCAAGTGTGAAGGGTGGATATGAAGAGACAGGGAAATGAGTGGGACTGGGGTGCATGATGTAAAAAACTCACAAGAAAATTAATAAAAAATGTCTTTCAAAATTTAAAATTTTGATATTTGTTAAATATTTGATATTACAATATAATACTGGTCATATTTTGTGTATTTGATACTGCATACTTATAAAAAAAAACCTGTAGTCATAATTAACATTTTCCCTGTGAAAAACTACCATTCATCACTATAAGAAAAATGCCAAAATTAAGATTCAGTGAACTGTGGGAACTTACCCTCCTGGTCACCACTGACTAGACCTCCTTTGGGATGACTGTGTGTAAAGTTGACATAACCAGCAGCTGAGTTGGTTTTTAAAGTTTCAGAGTTTTATATGTGAGTGTTTTCCCTGAATGTATATATGTGTGCGCATTTGTGTTTGGTGAATGAGAGGGCTCCAAGTGGCCATTGGATTCCCTGGAACCGAAGATAGAAATGTTTATGAGCTATAGCCAATGGAAACCAAATGCAGGTTCCCTAAAAGAACAGCAAGTGCTCTTAACAACTGAGCCATCTCTCCTGTCACATATAGCCCTGGCTGGCCTTGAACTCATGTAGACCAGGCTGGCTTCAATTTTACAGAGACCTGTCTGCCTCCATCCTCTGAGTGCTGGAATTACACCTAGTTGTCATTATATCTGGCTTGTTTTCAATTCATAAATGGCCCTAGGAGTCTTTTGCACTAAAAATATTTCTGTATTATTTTGCTCACATCTGCAACCATACCTGAAACATAACACATCCTACACAATGTGATTGCCCTGGGAAAATATTCTTTTCTTATCCCGAAACTGCCTTAGTGAAAGCAAACTCTCAGTAAACAGACGATTCAGATTCGTGAAATAGGTTGCTCACGTGTTTCTTTTACAAGTGGCTTTGATTACTTATGGCATTAGCAAAATTTGCATCGATTAACCAGTAAGCTGTAATGTTGTTTTCTATCTGGTCAGAAGAAATCAATTTTACTTAAGCTTTAAGTTTTTTTTTTTTTTTTTTTTTTTTTTTTTTTTTTTTTTTACTTTGAGACATTTAGGGTAAGTAGGTATTTATTATATTGCTGGTGGGAAAACACTGCATTTGTAATTAAGCAAAGGAGGTAATTTCACCAAAAGAAGAGGAATTGAGTAAAGTTTTCCAGGTAATGGGATTCTCTGAAATGCAAGGATTATTCCTACTTGGATGAAATCAGTTACATTGCCATTACAAGGAGGCTAATCAAAGAGCTGCCATCTCTCTGAAGAAGCTAGGCATGAGACAAAAAACCATTCCACCTTATAGTAGAGAGGAAAGGAACTCAGAAACGCTGCTAGGCAAAGAGCCTGGCTTAGAGTCAGATTTCCACAAATGTTCCTTGATTCAAATGAGGCCTGTGTAAAATGGACTCTCCTTTCTCCACTCATGATAGGTCGTCTGTATTTTTCCATAGCCAACAGTACACTTCAAAATGTCATATAACGAGTATATTCTGCATTTCCACTTGTATCTATAGCAACTTCTTTGTGTGTATGTGTGTGTGTGTGTGCATATGTGTGGGGGTCAGAGATCTAACTTGTGTTATTCCTTTAGGCTTGCATGCTGTAGCTTTCTTTTGAGACAGGGTCTCTCAGTGGCCGATGGCTCACGAACGGGGGTAGGTTCATTGGTTAGCAAGTTCCAGGGACCTATCTGCCTCCGCTCCCCTAGGGAGGGTATCCCACTCATGAGCCATCAAGTCTTGGCTTTATTTTTGATGTATGTTTGTGTGTGTGCACATGCGTACGATGTTCATGGAGGCCAGAGGTCCGTGACTGGAGTCGTTCTTAATTTTTCTCCACCCTAGTTTTTGAGACAAGATCCTTACTGAGCCAAGAGCTCGCCAAGTCTGCTAGTCTAGCCAGCCAGCAAGCCCCAGGGACCCTCCTGTCTCTGACTTCCTACTACTAGCACACCTAGGTTACAGTGCGCGCTGCTGCACCTGGCTTTTCCGTGGGACGCAAATGCAGGCTCTGCAATTCACTCTCCAGGATGTTAGGAAAGTCAATCATAGTGGTCCTATGTCAGCCATCAGAGGATGTTGCAAGAACGGCCTGCCCCTGTAGACGCTGGCCCTTCTGGAGCCCGGCGCCGGAGGAGCATCATTACTCAAAGTGACTGTTTAGTGTTCACGGCGGAACCCAGAAGCAAAACCGCAGCTTCGCTTATATCTCGGCCACGCCTTCTGCTGACAGAGCTTCGTATGCTACTGAGGAACCGTGTTAGAGAGCCGGGTCCACTCTCATGGAGCAGGCAGAAAGCATGATGATACTGAGTCAGGACATAGTACAGAGATGGAAGAGGACTCTTGAAATTCTGGGTGGCAGAGTGTGGCGGGTGTGTCTTGATTGTGGTAATGGCTCCACAGACACGTGTATATAAAACTTACTGAAGCAAACACGAAATATATGGAGGGTTTTTTTTTTTTTTTTTTTTTTTTGTCAGTTGTAGCTCAGCAAAGCTGTGAAAACGTTTGTAAGATTACTCTTTTTGAATAGAATTAACTTGGTTGGCTTAGGCACCTAGAACGGAAGAAAGTTGTATCCTTGCGTCTAAGGATGAGTGTACATATGTGTATACACACGTATATACTTCAGTCAAATGAAGAATCATTCCGGAGTATAGTCTGAGGAGGTCGATTCTACCTGTCTGTCCAGTGGAGCAGGGATTAAGCTTCTCTCGTTAAAACACAGTGTTTCAGGAGCTTTGCATGGGATCTCATGCTCACAGACTCTGTCTGGCTCCAGCACAGAACCTCTTCCCCTGCCTTGAGCTATGTCCTACTTCTTGCCTTCGTTGGATATCCTAGACTCTAGCTTTGCTATCTGAGGAGAAATGGCTCAGGCTGCTGCTCACAGGGACATTTAGATACCATGCTGGGCTATAGCTCTGTTTGCTACCCTTTCAGTCTAGAAAGTAGTGTCAGCCCTTTCTCTCACCTCCGGTCTCCTGAATGTTGGTAATTTTACATCAATTTGATAATTACTTAGTGCTTATTAATTCAGGCATTCTATTAGTTAATAAGGCTTCCATAATAGCATGGACAGTCTTTAACCTTGTGGTACATACGTTTTTGTTAGAAAAAAAAAATAGCTGAAGAAAATACAAGCACAATCCCTAGCACAGCTCATATAATGATCACTTAACATAATGTGAAGATTCCTCTCCCATGTTAATCTTCAGCCAGGATCATTCTAAGCTTCAGAAGGTACGGACTCAGAAATGATGCCCTGTGGTGTTTACCATTCACACGAGAACACTTAACTCTTCAGATAAGCTCTGGAGAGATGACTGCTTGCTGGAGATTTGGTTTGTTTTTCCTGTGGCCTAATTTAAATTAATCGGTTTAAAAGTAATTGCCATTGTTTGTGAGCTCTGCAGCTGTAGCCTAGAGCCTGCACATTGTTTTAGCTCCCCATCCCGGTTACCACCACTCTGGCAAAAGAGGTCAAGCTCCTTGTGTGGTAAAGGATAGCTGGGTGAGCAGGGGAGGGGAAGGGGTTGTATGCATTAATCATCAGTTGCTTTAATCAATCAATCAATCAATCAATTAATCAATCAAACCTGTGTGTTTTCAGTATGCGGTTTGTGTGTGTGTGTGTGTGTGTCTGGTTTGTATGTGTGTCTGTGTGTACACATGTCCAGGCCAGGGGAAGGTGTTGGTGTCTTCCTGTATTGCTTTCCACCTTATTCCCTTGAGACGGGATCTCTCATTGAGCCCAAAGCTCTTTCTTTCAATGATGCTGGCTGCCTAGTGAGCTCCTGGGTAATCTACCTGCCTCTCCCTCCCATTGTTGGGGTTACAGGTGTACAGGTTACATGCCTAGC